CAGATTCGGACGCTACCGCCGGGCACAATGCGGAGCAGTCCGGGACCGCAGGCGGCCATTCCTCCCCGCTGAAGCGAGGGTTTCTCGGTCGCATGCGGGAAAGGGCGAGTTGCCGTTCCACCTGGCTTCGGACCTGAGTCATCGCATGAGCAGCAGCAGCAGCGGAAGGGATAAGTCGCCGGGACGCGTCGCGGCTTCGAAGCGACGCGGCAAGTCCGACCGCTCCCCGCAGCGCAGCCGCTCGAACAAGTCGCCGCTTCGCGCGTCGGCAACTTCAGAGGAAAGCGACGCGGTTGCCAAGGCTGCCGCTTCGGAGGAGAATGCGGCGAGAGATCAGGCGTCTGGAGCGGGGTTGAGCAGACCGTTAGCGAAGGAGCTGTTTTAGGAGATGGTGGTGATGTGACTGTAGAGAGAGTGACTGTAAGTGAGTCAGCGGCGGTGGGGATGGATATAAGCGGCGATGACGAGGCTGTGTCGGCGTATAAGCCGAAGGATGCGCAGAGAATCGCGGAAAATTCGCCGTCGGATCAGGGCTCCTCGGAGCAGAGCGTATCTCAACCGTCGATTGGGCAGGAGAAGAATCCCTCGAAGGAATTGCAACCGCAGGATGATCAATTAGCAAGTTTGCCATCAGCAGCCGTCGCTTCTGCCGCCGCGATTTCCGGCGTGAGACACGGGAAGGAGGAGATGGAAGAGCAGGCGATGGAGCACGAGATGCAGGAGCTGACCGTGAGCGAGGGGCTGGGCGGCACTGGGCTGGGCGGCACTGGGCTGGGCGGCACTGGTTTGGGCGGCAGTGCTGCTCTTGCGATGGCGGTAGCGGATACAGGGGATGAGAAACGGAGAGACGAGGAGGGGGCAGGCGGAAAGGGAGGGGAGGAGGAGCGCGAGAAGGTTGAGGATGCGCATGTTGCTGAGACTCTTCCCTCACCCGTGGCTCCGCAGGTGAGTGTGCGCGAATAACGGCGGGAGACAGAGAGACATGCAACGAGAAGCCGGCAGAGGGACATGCAACGAGAGAAGTGGAGAAGGCGGGAGGCAATGACAAGCTTCAGTGATTTTAAGAACGCAGATAAAGAACGCAGTGTTAACCAGTAACTAGGGTCAGAACAATTACACACTCTCCCTGTCCCCTCCGATCCCTCCGACCCCCAGCCCGCGTCACCTGAGGAGAGCCTGTGTTGCTGGACAGTCTGGCCAATTTGAACAGGTGTCTGAAGTTGTCGAGTTGGGTCGGCAAGAGCAGGTCACAACGGCTGTGTTCCCTTTCTGTCCCCTCCACTCCCCTCCCCCCTCTCCCTCCCTTCCCCCCCCTCTCCTCCTTCCCCCCCCCTCTCCCTCCCTTCCCCCCCTCTCCCTCCCTTCCCCCTCTCCTCCCTCCCCTCTCGCTCCCTCCCCCCCCCCCCCCCTCTTCTTCCCAGCGTGCGGCACCTGAGGACGAGCCGGTGATGCTAGACAGCTTGGACAGGTGTCTGAAGCTCTTGAGCTCGGGCAACAAGAGCAAGGTCACCATGGCCCTCGTGGCGGTGCTCGCCTACGTGGCGTCCGGTGACGTGGACAACATGAACAACGTGTACGACGCCCTGCCATTCGCTCTGCTCGAGGAGGCATTCGCCGCGGCTGTAGCCAAAGGTGAGGCATTCGCTGTGGCTGTAGCCAAAGGTGAGGCATTCGCTGCGGCTGTAGGCAAAGGTGTGTGCGATGTGCTGGATTTAGGGTAGAGCACTCGAGAAGAGTACCAGTGTAGATGTGCAATTCGCAAGGAAAGACTTCCCTAACTGCTACCTACGAACTGTCCAGCCACCCCCAGCGCCCTGCTCTTCCCCTCATCTTCTTCTCTCGCCTCTCCCGCCCCCAGGGAGCGCCGCCCCAAACGGGGTGGTGGAGGAGGAGCAGCTGGCGGTGCAGCTGCACGCGCTGGCTGATTCTCCTTACACCGTTGTTTTACTTACTTACCTCTCCCCACCACAGGAAGTTCGGGCCCCAACGGGATGGTGGAGGAGGAGGAGCTGGTGCACGCGGCGCTAGCGGTGCTGGCGCTGCTGCTGCAGGAGCCGGACCTTGCCTACGCGCCGCAGACCATGCCGCTCGTGCCGCACCTCGTCGGACTCATCCGCAGCGGGTCAGTGCGCCACTGCGCCCTCTGCTCTGCTCTGCTCTGCATTGCTCTGCTCTGCTGTGCATTGCTGTGCGGCTTTGTGACCTTTGCTCCTCGCCACGCACCCTTGTCCTCCAAACCCCCCCTCCCCCCCCCCCCCCCTTTTTAGCTCCTTATTGAAGCCCCCAGAACAATCCCCTCTACGCACCACTCCCCAAAACACCCCCTACCTCCTCCCTCCCCCTGCCAACCCCTAACTCTTTCCGTGTTGTTCTGTGGGCGCAGCTACGACCCAGTGGTGGCGGTGGATGCGTACGAGTGCCTTCTGGGCGTGGCCACGGGGTCGGATGCGGGGCTCAAGGCGGTCAAGGGCGCGGACGTGCTGGGGGTGGTGGCAGAAAAATCCAGCGGTCCGAGCCAGGTGCGTTACAACGTTACAAGGCACAGTGTGTTACAAGTCACTGCGTTACACGTCACTGCGTTAACAAGGCTCGTCAGTGCACATGTTCGAGTGATGGCAGAGAACATTCAGCAGTCCCTTCGCCCAAAGTTCCCAGGCTGCACCTCCCTGCCATCCAGGTGTTATCTGAATCAAATGCCCCACTCGTCCCCCTCCCTCTCCTCCTCTCTTCCCCCCCCTCCTCCTCTCCTCCCCCTGGTCCTCCCTTCCCTGGGCAGGCTGCGAGTCCCTCCCGTCCGCCATCCAGCTGCTGGGGTTCCTCTTCATGAGTGGCGTGTCGGACATCGAGATGTACGAGTACAAGCACGAGCTCGCCGCTGCTGTAAGTGCCAGCAGGGGTGGAGGGGCATAGAGCCAGCCTCTGTTGAGCTGACGCCTCGCTGAGATTGAGATGCACGCATGAGTACTACAAGCATGACCCGCTGCTGCACGGTGAGTGCAGGCAGGAAGAGGAGTAGGGGTGTAGAATCAATTTAGTGTCAAACTTGCAAGTCTCGTGACTCGTTATGAGTAGCGTGTCTGTCAAGTCAAGCATCGAGACGTACTCAGGCTCGACTTGCTCAAGCTGCCGATCTGCGTGTGGCTTCGCAGTCAACTCGCAAGTCAACTCCCTGAGGTGCATCCGCCCTCGTCTCCTCTTCACCCCCCTTTTCCCCCAGGTGCCCACTCTAGCCCCCAAGCTGCCCCAGCGCCCGGGTATGCTCAAGTACGAGGTGCCCCAGCGCCCGGGTATGCTCAAGTACGAGGTGCTCAGATCGTCGCCCCTCCTCTCTCGTCCCCCATCCTCCCCCTCCCCCCCCCCCCAACCCGCCTACTCCCAACCGCAGTTGCCCCACTCTGGCTCGTGAGCTGGCCCAGCGCACGGACATGCTCAAGTACGAGGTGCTCACGACTTCTCCCCTTCTCTCCCCTCCTCTCTCGTCCCTCACCCTCCCCACCCCCCTACTTTAATGCCAGGTGCCCACGCTAGCACGCGAGCTGGCCCAGCGCACGGACATGCTCAAGTACGAGGTGCTCAAGCTGCTCGTCGCCATGCTGTCATCCGACGCTGCGGTACGTTTTGGTTTGATGTGTGAGGGGGTAGGCACGAGGGCACAAGGGGCATGCTGTCAAGTATGAGGTGCCCACGCTGCTGGTGGCCATGCTCTCCTCTGAGGCTGTGGTATGTGGATGTTGGTGGGCGCAAGGGAGGGGTTGGAGATAAGAGGTGAAAAGGTAAAGACAGGCGAAGCAGCAGTTGTGAGCGAGTCTTACAGATGGTAAAAAAAAACACCTCTCCCATCTTCCTTATCCCTACCGTTGCTGTCCTCCTGCCATCCTTGTCACTTAAGTTGACTCAATGAGCACCTCTCTTTGTGCCCGTCTATACCCGCCTCTCCATGCCCCTTTCTCAGGAGCCAGTAAAGTCAGTGGTGCAGACCTTTGACTCGGGCAGCGAGGGCCGCAGTGGGCGCACCACATGCGAGCCGGTCTGGCCGCATTCTCCTCGACAGCACCGAGGAGGAGTTCAGAAAGGACGCGCTGCAGCTCGTGCGCGTGCTGGCCGAGATTCAAGGGCACGCCTGGCTTGTGGAATCTGGGGACGAGGGGAGCGGAGACGGGGTGGGTGTGAATGGGTTGAGTGCGGTGCGGCCGTCGCCGGCGGATCGGTTCCTGCTAGTGGTGCTACAGGCGGTGAAGCTGGAGATGCCTCCGTTGTTGCAGGAACTGGCTGTGCTCACCCTTGAGAACGAGGAGGAGGAAGGGAAGGAGGGGGGGTGAAGGTGGGGAGGGAGGGGAGGGAGAGGAGGGGGAGGGAGCGGTGGACGGCGAGGAAAAGGACAAGATGAACGCGGATGCGGCGTGGGCTGCGCTGGGCGGCAATCTGGACCGTTTCGGGCCGGGAAACGCTGGGGAAAGCAGGGGGAGGGTTGGGCAGAGCAGGGGGGTTAGGCAAGGGGGAGATCACACGAATGAACTCGTTAGTGCCTACCAGCGAGGACTGGAGATCTGTTGTCAATGAGATGGTGTGGGAACCTCCCAAGGATGGGGATGATGATGCAGGGGCGTTGCAGATAGAGGAGGAGGTGCCAGAGGAGACTGGACCTCCGGAGGAGGTTAAGAGGCTGTACAGGGTGCTCGGGACTGCTATGCACTGGTTGAGAAGGTCGTTGGTGCCTTGGCTGGGGCGGCGGCAGAGGCGGAGAAAGGGAGAGGGAAGGGAGCAGGAGAGGAGAAGGATGGGGAGGAGGGAGGGAAGGAGGTGCAGGCGCTGGTGGCGAGGTTAGGGGTTGAAACGGTGAAGCTGTGTGTGAAGATAATCGATGCGATTGTTAAGGACGTCCTTATTTCTTGCAGCTCGCACAGGTGAGAAGAGACTTGTTGTCTTACTCGAGTATAAAGCAATAGATGCGTAATCAGTATGTCTCGGCCGTCATCAGTATGTGTCGGTCGGCCGGCTGCCATCATTCATTTACCAGCTGCCAGTCTGCTCTGCGCCCTCTCTGCTCGTACCACGCCTGTGCATTCCCATGTGGTCACTTGTCTTGTGTGATGTCCTGATGTGTGCTTACCGTGTCTGCATTAATCAATTGTGTCCCGTGTGTGTTTCTGTGTGCAGGAGCGGGAGCGGTATTCGCACGATGGGGTCCTTGCTGCCATCAAGCTATTGGGGAGGTACCACATGCGCAAGCACGCTAGCGGCCCACCGATCACTATGTTGCCACCAGAACTGCACAACATCACAGCAAAGCAATTTCTATCCTTTTACAACCCATCCCATCACATCTCATCACATGTCATCACGTCACATGAGTCGGATTCATTCTTTTCCAGGTTATCGGTCTTTCCGTCCTCAACCTTCATCCTACCTACCTCCCCCCTCCCCCCCTCCCCGCAGCTACCTGACAGTGGCGCCTTCCTCGCATCGCAAGAGAGTGGGGCGGCTGCTGGGCTTCATGCTGGGGGTCAAGGGCGAGGACGAGGACAGGTGCGCGTGGCGGGGATTGAGAGTCAGTTTACGTGTCTTAGGATGTCTGGAAAACGCCTCCTTCATGCTGGGGGTCAAGGGCGAGGACGAGGACAGGTGCGCGCTGCTTGAAGGGAGAGATTACATGTGAGCAGGGGGGATTGAGACGTGTCTCGTAGAATGCGGCTGGGCTTCGTGCCAGGGGTGAAGGGCGAGGACGAGGGCAGGTGAGGATGGGGGATTGAGATGTCGGAAACCAGGTAGCTGGTCTTGACGGTGAAGTTGCTGATGTGTGCTTGGGTGAAGGTGTGTATAGAGTAGTACTGACTCCTCCTATCCGCCTGGTGCTCTCCTCTCCGCTGGCTGCTGCTGGCGTCGCGCTACCTGCTGCCTGCCCTGGTGCACATGAGCAGTGAGCAGCGAGGTACCCCAAGGTGCTGCGTTCGCCCCCTCATCTCTCTTCACCCATCCCACTCTGTCCGCAGGCCTCTGCTGGCGTCGCGCTACCTGCTGCCTGCCCTGGTGCACATGAGCAGTGAGGCCCGCGGCTGCAACACCATCCTCAAACGCGGCGGCCACAGATTCGTGAGTGCAGTGTGACATTGTAACGAGGGGACTATTAATGACTCAAAGTCACATAAGCAGTGAGGCCCGGGGTTGCAACACCATCCTCAAACGCGGTAGCCACAGATTCGTGAGTGCTCCTCCTCCTCCCCTGCATCTCCCTCTGTGCTACTCATGTGTAGTGCTCCAACATGACACACGTCCTCAAGTCTGTTTACTCCCTCAACAACTCCCCCTCCCCCTCCCCCCAGATGATCGAGTATGTGGTGGGGACAGGTCGCACCACCATGACACATGTCCTCCCGCTTCTCCCCCTTCCTTTCTCTTTCATCCTCTGCAGCTCATCAAGTACATTGCAGAGACGCGCCGCACCAACATGACACGCGTCCTCGAGACTGTTCCTCCCTCCCCCTCACCTCCAACTCCCCTCCCCCTCACCTCCAACTCCCCTCCCCTCACCTCCAACTCCCCTCCCCTCACCTCCAACTCCCCTCCCTCACCTCCAACTCCCCTCCCCTCACCTCCAACTCCCCTCCCCTCACCTCCCAACTCCCCTCCCCTCACCTCCAACTCCCCTCCCCTCACCTCCAATTCCCCTCCCTCACCTCCAACTCCCCTCCCCTCACCTCCAACTCCCCTCCCCTCACCTCCAATTCCCCTCCCTCACCTCCCAACTCCCCTCCCCCTCACCTCCAACTCCCCTCCCCCTCACCTCCAACTCCCCTCCCCTCACCTCCAACTCCCCTCCCCTCACCTCCAACTCCCCTCCCCTCACCTCCAACTCCCCTCCCCCTCACCTCCAACTCCCCTCCCCCTCACCTCCAACTCCCCTCCCCTCACCTCCAACTCCCCTCCCCCTCACCTCCAACTCCCCTCCCCCTCACCTCCAACTCCCTCCCCTCACCTCCAACTCCCCTCCCCTCACCTCCAACTCCCCTCCCCCTCACCTCCAACTCCCCTCCCCCTCACCTCCAACTCCCCTTCCCTCACCTCCAACTCCCCTCCCCCTCACCTCCAACCTAAGTTGGTTCCTTACGTTACGTTTACGTACGTGTACGTTTACGTTTACGTACGTTTACGCGATTCTGGTTTTTGGCCTGTATGTACGGGCAGCCAAAAACTTTTTAGGCTGCCCAAGGGAAAAAATGAGGGGGGATGGAAAGTCGACTTTTTGTAAAAACGTTTGTAGGTTCTGATCTTCTAGTACAGTAGAAGATTATCACGAGTGCGGTGCGACGAAAGTACAAAATTGTTTGGCGAAATTCCGCATGCGCGAAATCTCGTCGCTGGTGCGCGTCAAATTTGGTGCGCCGGCAATCCAACCAGCCAATGAACAACCCCTACCTGACCCAACCCCAACCCCCCTCGACATGTGTTTCTCCTTCCCCTGTCGACGAATGCCAATCGCTAACCTTACTCCAGCGACAATCAAGTCTAGACTACGTAGCATCTTACGACTATGAGGAGCGCGGATACTATCAGCGCAACGAATTAAGTTGCGACTTAGATTGATGGGGTGGATCAGTGCGAAGCGTAGGCATCAGCCGTAGCTTAGCCCTGAACAGCTTAGTAGTAGCTGCAAATCGCGTTTTCTTAGGGAGAAATTTTTGCCCGGGAAATTTTTTTGAGGCCTGCCCGGCGACGTACACGTAACGTACGCGTAACGTAACGTACACGTAAAGTTACGCGTACTTTACGTGTACGTGGGCTTAAGTCACGTAAGGTACCAACTTAGCCTCCAACTCCCCTCCCCCTCACCTCCAACTCCCCTCCCCTCACCTCCAACTCCCCTCCCCCTCACCTCCAACTCCCCTCCCCCTCACCTCCAACTCCCCCTCCCCTCACCTCCAACTCCCCTCCCCTCACCTCCAACTCCCCTCCCCCTCACCTCCAACTCCCCTCCCCTCACCTCCAACTCCCCTCCCCTCACTCCAACTCCCCTCACCTCACTCCCCTCCCCCTCACCTCCAACTCCCCTCCCCTCACCTCCAACTCCCCTCCCCTCACCTCCAACTCCCCTCCCCCTCACCTCCAACTCCCCTCCCCCTCACCTCCAACTCCCCTCCCCCTCACTCCAACTCCCCTCCCCTCACCTCCAACTCCCCTCCCCTCACCTCCAACTCCCCTCCCCCTCACCTCCAACTCCCCTCCCCTCACCTCCAACTCCCCTCCCCTCACCTCCAACTCCCCTCCCCCTCACCCCCCCCCCCCCTCACCTCCAACTCCCCTCCCCTCACATCCAACTCCCCTCCCCTCACCTCCAACTCCCCTCCCCTCACCTCCAACTCCCCTCCCCTCACCTCCAACTCCCCTCCCTCACCTCCAACTCCCCTCCCCTCACCTCCAACTCCCCTCCCCCTCACCTCCAACTCCCCTCCCCTCACCTCCAACTCCCCTCCCCTCACCTCCAACTCCCCTCCCCCTCACCTCCAACTCCCCTCCCCCTCACCTCCAACTCCCCTCCCCTCACATCCAACTCCCCTCCCCTCACCTCCAACTCCCCTCCCCCTCACCTCCAACTCCCCTCCCCCTCACCTCCAACTCCCCTCCCCTCACCTCCAACTCCCCTCCCCCTCACCTCCAACTCCCCTCCCCCTCACCTCCAACTCCCCTCCCCTCACCTCCAACTCCCCTCCCCCTCACCTCCAACTCCCCTCCCCCTCACCTCCAACTCCCCTCCCCCTCACCTCCAACTCCCCTCCCCCCCACCGCAGCTCATCGAGTGCATCGCAGAGACCGGGCGCACCAACATGACACACGTCAACCCTTTAACACATCGCCTTCATCCTCCCCCCTCCTCCCCCCACCGCAGCTGATCGAGTACATTGCGGAGACGGGCCGCACCAACATGACGGGGCAGCTGCGGTCGGGGGCAGAGGGGCAGACCAGCCTCATGCAGGCTGCTGACGTCATCCTTAACCTCTTCTCCTTCGTGAGTCGTTCGTCCTTCATCTGCTCTCACCATGCAGCCTGTCCTGCCTGCCTTCCCTGCCAGTCCTAATGCTTGTGCTGTTGTTTCCTACCCATCTTTGCATCTCTTCTCACCGTCAAACTCTCACCTGCTGTTATTCAAACCTCCCCCTCGTTCGCACGCGTGTATGTGTGTCCGCAAGTTGCATGTGCATCGGTCCATTATTGTACACCCTCCCAATCTCCCATGCATGTGGCACAGCGGCGCAACATCAAGGTGCCTTTAGACCCGCATGACTTTGTGCCGCTGCTCGCATCCATGGGCGCTTGGAGCAGCGTCAAGAGTAAGCAACCCTCTCACTCCCTCTCTCCCTTTTTCACTCTATGCACTGCTGGGGTGGGTGTGACGTGCCTATTTCCGAATGCGACTTAACATGCTAGCCATTCTCACACCACTGTGCTTTGTGCCCCAGAATCCGTTTCTTTCTCGTTTGTTGAGACGCTTCCCTGTTCCCTCCCTTCCTCTCCTTAACTCAATTGGTCCTTTGTATTAGGTAGTGTAGGGTACAGGCATGGCAGCGGACAGTGCACAGCAGGTGAGACCTAACAGCCCAGGCCAGGGGACTCTAAGGGTCCCCCAACACTGGCTCTAACACATGCAGCAAGTCCCCCACGTAAAGCGGAGCCGCCGGCTCGCCCCAAGGCTGCTCCTCCGCGGCGAGAGCCTCGTTGATCGTGTTGAGGGCCACGGCTTGGCCCCGCTGCAGAGTCACCGACCATCGCTGGCGGTACTCGTGGAACAGCTTCGCGGCCTCCCGCGAGGTGGGGGCTGCCTGGTGGTGCCTGCGCGCCACCAACTCGGCGCACTGCTTGAGAAAACCAAAAACGCCGGCAGAAGAGCAGCCATACGTCTCTGCCGCCATCGCAAAGAAGCCAACCCACTCCGCCCGGGCCGGCGGGCGGTACTTGTTTTCCTTGCCCCGAGCTGTGATCCTAGCCCCCCAACCGGTCCCTTTGCGCGCCAAGCGATCGTCTGGGGAGATTGGATTGGTCAGGATGACGTCACACAGCCGCACCGCCCCCAAGTCCGGGTGGCGGATGAACACGTCCACCCAAAGATTGGAGACCCTTGTGAAGAGATTGGTCTCTTCACACGTGATGAACCCCGCCTCGATGGCGATCCGCGCGCATTCATCCCGCAGGGCGTGGTGCGCACCCGTCCGACCCGGCCCCTTAGTGCACCTCAGGAGGTGGTTGGGTAGATGGGGATTGTCGATGTCGTTACGGTCAGCACAGTCACAGACGCCCGGGGTGGAGTGAGGGAGCCCCAGGCGGAACGCCATGGCGGTGGAGAAGTGGCCGGGGCTGAGGCGGAGGGAGGACGAGAAGGGGATGGCGTGCAGTCAATCGCCTGCCCCCGGGCCCATGAGGGAAAGCATGCGCTGCGTGTGCCCCTGGAGCGGGCTGAGCGGCATGCGGCGAGCCTGGTCCAGCTGGAGCGTGAAGTGCTCCGCCTGCACCTGCAGCACCAGCGCTCGCTGAAGCTTGGGCGGGTCTGGTGAGGTGCTCTCCTGGCGCAGAAGGTCCGCCGCAGAAGGCGGCAGGGAGTTCTCGAGAATGGAGAGGCGGCGGGGGAAGGGCGTGCGGCCGGTGGGATCGGGGTGGAACTGCCCCAGCAGGTCGGAGACGGCACGGGGCAGCGACGAGAGGCTACCCAGGAGATGGGCGGTAGCGGCGACGGAGGTCAGGTAGCTTGGCGCTGCCTCCGCAGCAGGGTTGGTGATGCCGAGCCCGCCGAGGGTGGTCCGGAGGGACGCCTGGCCCCACACGTGCCTGGTCTCCTTAACTCTCCTCATCTCTTTTGGTCCCTCCTCTCGTCCACCTCCTCTGGTCCCTCCTCTCCTCCACCTCCTTCGGTCCCCTTCCTGCACTGAACCTCCCTCCTCCCCCTCCCCCTCCCACATGCACGGACCCCAAGATCACATACAAGACGCTGGCCATGGCGGCCTGCATGAACGTGTCGATGCTGCAGCTCTCCTCAGAAGACATCATCAAGAAGAAGCTCGACCTGATGAAAAGACTTCCCTCCTTCACTGAAGACCTCTCCCCTCTCATCTTCACTGATTGCCTCTCCTCGCTCTCTTCCCCTTCCCAACAGGCACGGACCCTAAGATCACCTACAAGACGCTGGCGATGGCGGCATGCGTGAACGTGTCGATGCTGCAGCTCTCCTCAGAAGACATCATCAAGAAGAAGCTCGACCTCGCAACCTACAAGAAGCTTCCCAGCTCGCTGGGCGTGATTGTCAAGTTCCTGGAGTTTGGGCACCGCAACTGCAACTCGTTTAGTAGCGAGACAGAGATCAAGGAGCTCTGGGACATCACCCTCGGATGTAAGTTATATTCTGTTCCGTGGCCTCCGCTCCCCATGGCTGTCTCCCTTTCCACTCTTTCCCCGAGAAAGGATGGACCCGCTAGCTTCTAGCCACTCCAGGCACCGCCACCTCACTCACCACCCTGGTCTATTCATTTCATGACCACACATTCCTGGCTACTTTCTTCTCCCTCTCCTCCCCTCCCCACCCCCCAAACACACCTCAAACCCCCTTTCACGTCTTTCATCTTCCACTGCACTTCCTCCCCAGTACCAACCAACCACGTGTTTCTCCCCTCTTTGCCACCAGCCTGCACGGACTGTCTGCTGCTGTGGCCTCAGCTCAAGCGAGCCATTGTCAAGTCGGAGTACTGGGCTCGTGTCTCCAGGCAAAAGTATGTGCTGTACCCATAGGCTTGTGGCTTGTGACTTGCATGACACATGGATTCACACATTCTCCTGCCACCCATCCATTCTCCTGCCGCGCATCCATTCTCCTGCCGCCCATCCATTCTCCTGCCGCCCATCCATTCTCCTGCCGCCCATCCATTCTCCTGCCGCGCATCCATTCTCCTGCCGCCCATCCATTCTCCTGCCGCCCATCCATTCTCCTGCCGCCCATCCATTCTCCTGCCGTGCATCCATTCTCCTGCCGCCCATCCATTCTCCTGCGTCTCCGAACGCCCACCCCAGCTCCTGTGCTGCTCCCCTGCCTGCCCTCCTCTGACTCGTTTCCTTGTCTCATTGCTCTCCTCGCCCTTGTCGCTGTGCTTCTAACCAGAGCCGTGACCCAGGAGCGCCTCAACCAGGTGTGCAAGGACGAGAGGCTCCGCAAACTGCTGGCCCTCGTCGCCTTCTCCAACTGACCCATCCCCCACCCTCCCCCCCCCTCCCCCCCCCTCTTCCCCCTCTCCTCCAACTGACCCCCCCTCGCGTCACCTCCCGCACGCTCCTCCCCCTCTCCTCCAACTGACATACACCAACGCCCACTCCCTTTTTCTCCCTCTCTTTTATTAGCTACCTTTTGTATCCCCCCTGCTCTGCCCCCCCTCCACCCCCAACCTCACCTAACAACCACATTATTCCCCAACCCAATCCCTGCACGCCAACTAATCATTGTACCTAAGCTCCCTCGCACCTTGCTCCGGCTGCAATCAGCGGACGGCTACTGCTGTCCCCCTTATTGAAATGGAAGGTTCTAAACATCCCTGCCAGCCACACATAGCCCTCCTATTGTAACCGCATACCCTGTACTGGGGCGAAGCCAAGGATAGCGGCTTGCTGTCTGACTGCCTGAAGAAATGTATCCTGTGCCTGCTGGTCAGGGTATTGTGGTTCTCAGCTTGCTATCTAGCCATCTCACCGTTTCCACTTGTGGCATTTGTGGATACCTTGCCATTAGTCAAATTCACTGAGTTGTGTAACACCTCGTATGTCAAGAAGATACCTTTGTTATCAGAAATGAGTTTGTACACCTTACTACACCATGAGCCATGCCAAGCCAACGTGTACAGTTGCCACTGAAGGCACCCAAATCCCGACGAAGGTCGACTTCAGTCAACTCAAATTTGAAATCGTGGTCTCTAACATTTTTGCGTCAGCAGCGCGGCAGCATGTCAGCTGGTTGGAACAATACTGCACCTTGCCATACCATCCTTATGTTAAGAACTTAGGATGCTAGGTCCCTAAAGTTAGGACACTAGCTTAGCTAGGATAGGAGCAAGGCCGCCATGGAACGGCGCTAGGAAAAACGGATCTAGGAGTAGGAGGAAAGTCGAGAAGAAAGAGGGTTGGATTAGGAAGAGAAGGGAGTACAAGGAGGGGTTTGTACCCCCTACAGAAAGGTTCAGTAGCAACCTACCAAGCCTATATAAAATTATAACTTATATAATTTTAACACACCCCCTAGGCTTGGTAGTGTCAAGCCCACTCACACCCCCACACCCGCACCCAACCCACCCCCTAACCCCGCACACCCTCAGGCTCGTGCTTAGCCGGGTATCTGACCCTCAGGCAAAGCGTTGACACACCCCCGTACACGAGGCAGCCGACGGCGTCTAGGCGGGTCAGCGACAAGCAGCCGCGGAGCTCTGGCTCAAGGCGGCTGGGTCGCCGACGACAGGCGGCGACTGCCGCGGCTGAGGGCTCTCGGCGATGTGGCAACGTCCGGGCAGAAGACAGCAGCTGCGACAGGAGGAAGGGAAGACGCAGGGGGAAGGGAGAATGGGGGGGGGGAGGGGGGGGCGGGGCGAGTCTTCAGCGTCGCGCCATAAATGGCGCGGCGCTTACAGGCGGGACGACGGCGTCCTGGCAGGGGGCGACGGGGCCGGGCAGAGGGCGACGGGGCCAGGCAGGGCGCGACGGGGCCGAGCGGGTGCGATGAGGCCAGGCAGGGCGCGACGAGGCCCAGGAGGGGCGCAGCCGCGGCGTCGCGCTGACGTCGTCCCGGTCGCGTGTCGAGACGGCCGCGGCAGGACGGCGCAGCCGGCGAAAAGACGACGACGCCACAGCGTGACGCCGCCGCGGCCGCCATGGCAGCGTCGATGCCGCAGCGGGGCGTCGACGCTGCGACTGCAGAACGACGGCCCGACTCCGCAGCAGCGCGTCGGGCCGGTCGCGGCACGACGCGCCCAGTGGCAGCGCGACGTCGCCACTGCAGCAAAACGCGGCCGCCATGGCCGCTGGAGTGAATGAGGGTGAGGAGTAAATGGCGGAAGCGAGAGGAGGCAGTCCAGCAGGAAGGATCTCCTGCTCTGATACCATGTTAAGAACTTAGGATGCTAGGTCCCTAAAGTTAGGACACTAGCTTAGCTAGGATAGGAGCAAGGCCGCCATGGAACGGCGCTAGGAAAAACGGATCTAGGAGTAGGAGGAAAGTCGAGAAGAAAGAGGGTTGGATTAGGAAGAGAAGGGAGTACAAGGAGGGGTTTGTACCCCCTACAGAAAGGTTCAGTAGCAACCTACCAAGCCTATATAAAATTATAACTTATATAATTTTAACACCTTACCAGGGCCTCAGATTCGTTTTGGGGCACGCTGATCGCTCAGGGTCCCCCTCCTTTAGCTCCCTGTTTTTTCAGGCCTCGCAAAAAATCTTACGCTGATCAATCAGGGCAGGGTGTTGTAATTTTTTCGCACTGAATCAACAGTCACCTACGGTATGTGCTGGAGACAGCAGTGGCTGGCTACTTTCGAACAGCCTATGAGAACCTGCCGAGTACTGTGTGCTGGATGAAGAATGGCAGAATCCTCTCCAGGGGGGCGGGATTCTGGTCGGTCACAGTCAAGTCGGCGTGATTGACAGGGAGGTTGGGGGGGGAAATCACGAAAATCACGGGTGGGGGGGTTGGGGCTAGGAATACGCTATTACAAGAATCAGGATCGGGCCCCAAAAAACAGGCCTCACTACACTTGTCACGCTTATCAATCAGAGTCCACTCCTAGAAAAACGCTGAAATTTCAGGCCGTTGTCTAAAAAAAACCCTGTCTCATCAGGGTCACCCCCCTAAATAGCCCTGATTTTACCCTGAATCAGGGTAAAAAGCCTGCAAACTGAGGCCCTGATCCTTACCATACCATTCCGAGACACAGTTGTGATTGGTCAGCGCCAACCATCAGCACCGCAGTTGTGCTTGATTCATTGCACTGTACAGAAGTATTCATACGGTACACCATCTATAACTGCCGTCGCGCCTCCTAGCCCCGTCGCGCCCCTCCTGGGCCCCGTAGCGCCTCCTAGCCCAGTCGCGCCCCTCCTGGGCCCTGTCGCGCCCCTCCTGGGCCCCGTCGCGCCTCCTAGCCCTGTCGCGCCCCTCCTGGGCCCCGTCGCGCCCCCTAGCCCCGTCGCGCCCCTCCTGGGCCCCGTCGCGCCCCCTAGCCCAGTCGCGCCCCTCCTGGGCCCCGTCGCGCCCCCCTAGCCCCGTCGCGCCCCTTTTGGGCCCCGTCGCGCCCCTCCTGGGCCCCGTCACGCCTCCTAGCCCCGTCGCGCCCCTCCTGGGCCCCGTTGTGCCTCCTAGCCCCGTCGCGCCTCCTAGCCCCGTAGCGCCCCTCCTGGGCCCCGTCGCGCCTCCTAGCGCCCCTCCTGGGCCCCGTCGCGCCTCCTAGCCCTGTCGCGCCCCTCCTGGGCCCCGTCGTGCCTGCCTGGCCCCGCCGCGCCTGCCTGGCCCCGCCGCGCCCGCCTGGCCCCACCGCGCCTTCCTGGCCCCGCCGCACCTGCCTGGCCCTGCCGCGCCTGCCTGACCCCGCCGCGCCTGCCTGGCCCCGTTCTTACCGGCCCCACACCCGCCCTTGCGACCTCCGCGCCCGTCCGCTCGGCCCCTGCGCCCGTCCCAGCCGGCCCCGCGCCCGCCCTCGCGACCTCCGCGCCCGTCTGCTCGGCCCCTGCGCCCGTCTCAGCCGGCCCCGCGCCCGTCCTGTCGGCCTGGTGCCCGCTGCTCCTGGCCCCCGCGCCCGTCCTGCCCCGAGCTGTGTGCGGCCCGCTCGTCGTCCCTGCCCCGGCCCTGCATCCTCCCTGGTACGGTTCCCCATCACCTGTACCGCACTGCACCGAGCTGCACCGCACTGCACGGTACCGCCCTGCACCGCATTGCACCGCCCTGCATCGCACTGCACCGCACTGTACAGTCCTGCACTGCTCCTGATGGCGGCGGAGCTTCGCTTCGACGCTGAAGGCCAGCGTCTAGAGTTCGAGGCGAGGCTCGCCGACCTCCGTCGCCACCTCACTGGCCATCGGCAGGATGGCCACCCGCTTTCCGCACACCTTGACGGTACGCTCCCCTGCCCATCCCCCCCTGCTGTGCTGCCCGCTGACCCCACACCCGCTGAGCGCGAGTCTACTGCAGCCACTTCCCTTGCGCGCTCTGTCTGGCTTTCCCGAGACGCTGTCGCTCAGCTTGCCATTAGCAATGCCCTTCCCCCGTCTGAGCGCCCTCGCTTTAGGTCCATCACTACCGCCCTGGCTTACTTAGATGCTGTCATCAAGCGCTATTCCACCCCTCCTGCTGCCTCGGTGGGTCGCCTGATCCTCCCGATGCTCTTTCCCGACCTTGCGTCTTTCCCCACTGTCTCTGACCTAAGCTGCCCACCTGCGCTCGATAGATGATACCTGGCGCGATGCCTGCACTGACGCACAGCTTAGAGCCCACCAGCCGCCCATTACCTCTACCCTCTACCTGCTTGCCACCCGCCTCCCTGACTGCCTTGCCGCCGCCCGCGACCGCTTCCTTAGCATTCACCCCGGTGAGCTCACCCTCACCGACTTTGTAGACACCCTGACTGTTATTAAGACCTGCCACCGCTCCATCGCCCAGGCGAGCGGTACCGTGCCGGTCCCTATCTTTCAGGGTTGTGCCCCAGCTCAGTGTACCTTCTCCGACAATTCTGTCGCTGTGGCTGAGACTGCTGCTGCACCGCAGTTTCGTTCGGGGAAGGGCCGCCGCCCCAAGGCTGGGCGCGGCGGAGGAGGCGGGGGTGCAGGAGGGGGTGGTGGTGGAGTCGGGTCGTCTGGTGCTGGAGCGAACGAGGGGACCCTGCCCGGTCCAGCTGAGCCGCCGCCTCCGCAGTCGCAGCAGCAGCCGCAGCAGTCGCAGCAGCCGCAGCCTCCGCAGCAGCCGCCGCAGACGAGGCAGGCGAGTGTCCTCCCGCCCGGGTGGCTTGGTGCTGGAGGTGGTCGGGCGCGTGGCGGTGTGCCAAGTGGTGGTTCGGGAGGCGTGCGTTGTCAGTACCAGATCCAGACCGGTCCTCGCCGCGGCTTCGTTTGCAGTAAGCACGGTCATACCACTCCCCGCTGTTTTCGTCGCCTGGACGACCTGTTTCGTCAGCGCTTCGGCCCGTCGCCAGACCTCCCGGAGTGGCACAGTTTGCTTAGTCGTAGGATTCAGATTTTTCACATGGACATGGATGCCATTGTTTCTGCTCTGCATGTGATGTATGCTGATGACTCTAGTGCGCTTTCTGCTTATTACTCATTTTCGTCTAGTGTAGGTGTGCCTAGCTTAGACTCCCCTGCTGCGTCAGGCGTAGGATCCCCTGCTTTGTTTAGCCTTGGTGCTTCCGCCGTCGCCCCGTCGCCGGACGCCACTGCTTCGCTTTCCTTCACCTTGGACTCTGGCGCTTCCCGGTGCTTCTTCCGCGACTCTACTACACTGACGCCGCTTCCTGCTCCTGCTGCCGTTTCTCTTGCTGACCCCTCCGGCGGTCCGGTAATCGCCCGCAGTTCCACCACCCTTCCCTGTCCGACGGTTCCTTCGGGCTCTCTTACAGGACTGCATATCCCCTTGTTCTCCAGGAACCTAGTTGGTGTCGGCTGCCTCCAGGACCTTGGCGTCACCACTACGTTCCCTGGACACGAGCGGTATGCTGTCTGTACCGAGGCCGCCACCGGTGCCCACCTGTCCACGTTCCCCCGGGACCCGCTGTCCGGCCTGTTCACTCTGGACACCGTGACCCC